CCCCCCCCCCCCCCCCCCCCCGCCAACTAAAAAGTAATTGGAGAAAAGGGCTAAGGAAATGAAAACTCAGGCTTGTATCCCTTGAAAAACAACTGCACTAGTGGCTCCCCATGTGCTTCATGCTATCTCAGACCATCATGCCTTTACAAGTGCTGGTCCCTGGAGTCCTTTCCTTCTCCCTCACCTGACTTTAAAAAAATCAGCTCAAACATTTACCTTCTCCAGGTAACCTTCCCTGACTCTCCAGTTTGGATAGGATGCCTCATCTCTGTGCAGGCCACCATCATTGTTCATAATATACTAGCTTTAATAATGAACTAATTCATCTGACTAGGAGCAAAAAGCACATTTTCCTCCAGCTGATATCCCCAGTACAGTGCCCAACACATAGTAAGTGCTCAATATTCTGTTGAATATTCTGTTGGATAAGCACAGTAAATGAAGGGAAAACAAACTAGCATTTGTGACTGTCAGTTTGGGTTCTTAATGAATATCAGGTACCTGCTAGGCACTTTACCCATATTATCTCATTTAATCCTAACAAAAACCTTACATTCAGTTTACTGACGAATTCAAGGCTCAGCAAACTTAACTTTTAATTTTTCTGTAATTAAGCAACCAAAAAGTAGTGGTGCCTAGATTAAAACTCAAGTTTGTCTGACTCCACACTGCCTCTTAAACAGGCGTGAAACACACATTTACTCTCTGTCCCCTCCGTTATCCCTAACCTTCAGGTATAAGACAAAACACAGGGTGGAAACTCCCTTCCATTGCTAAGGCCCTTTGTGAGTGAAGTGCCTTAGAGCATACCACTGCCTTCTCATCAACACCGCATCCAATCCCACTCTCCCTTGTAGCCATAGGCCACCCATCGTACAGTACCTCAGGGCTAAGGGAAGAGAACCCTCCTTCTGCACACACTGCTCAATGTTTGCCTCTCTGCATCCCACCATATTAATCCTTAGTGCCAGAAACAATGAATACAAGTGGCCTGACACCCAGCTGGCTTGACTTTAATTCAAATAAGGAAGAGAGAAGCTAAATATACACTCCCACCATCCTCAGAAGGTGTGGGTAGCCTGTGCCTAGACAGAGTGTGAGACAAGCCAGCTGGGCAAGCATCAGAGTAGAGTGGATTCTCCTCTCTGACTAATGGAATTCCAAACCTCTTATGTCTCTGCAACAGTCATTTCTCACTCTTTGTCTTCTCTCATAGTCTCCATGATGTGTAGGATGGCAACTTGAAGAAGGACCAGGTGTCTTAAGAAAGAAACACGTCTGGGGGCTGGCTGGTTAGTGAGGTTGGATAGAGCGTGGTGTTATAACATCAAGGTCAAGTGTTCAGATACCATACCCGCCAGCTGCAAAAAATGCAACAAACAAACAAACAAAAGAAGAAACATGTCTGGATACAAGGGACAAGCAGGTAAGATGTTTCCCTAACCCTTTCTGGGAAATAGCTTCAGAGCTAGTAAAAGACATCCAGGATAGGCTATGATGGCTGTGTCAGGAACGGGTAAAGCAAAGACAAATTTGTCATGTCATATACTCTGCAAAGAGTAGCTTCAAGGGCCAGCCTGGTGGCGCACTGGATAAGTGCGCCGCTTGGGAAGTGCAGCGGCGCTCCCGCCCGAGGGTTTGGATCCCACATCCGGACCGGTTCCCGCTCACTGGCTGAGCGAGGCGCGGGAGCAACACCAAGGGTTGCAATCCCGTTGCTGGTCCCCGGTCCGGTACGGGGGCAACACTGAGGGTTGCGATCCGTTGCCGGACATGGAAAAAGACAAAAAAAAAAAAAAAAAAAAAAAAAAAAGAGTAGCTTCAAGAACTCGACGTAAACAGTATCGCACACAAGTGTTCCAACTTGGTTTTAGTGTTATTGGTTCAATAGTAGTGTCTAGTGTGGTGCTAATAACATCAAGGTTGGGGTTTCAATCCTCTTATTGGCCTGCCACTAAAACAAACAAAAAAAGTACCTTTCTACCTTAGACATGGAAATGATGGTTTGCAAAAGCAACTTCCTTCTTTCTCTTTATAGAGATTCCTGACAAAATCAAAACCTCACAAGAACGGAAGCAGAGACCTATATGGAACATTCAGTGGTCCCCTGACCACTGCCACAGGAATGTGAGCAACAAACTTAAAAAAAAAAAAAAACTTTAGAAGGTCCAAATTCTAAGAAGTGGAGAAAGCAAGAAAATAGTGTCAATAGCTAACACACTGAGAATAGTGAGTTATTCCATAAAGTCAAAGTCCACACAGACAAATAATGTCTGGCACCTAGACCCCACAGACAGCACATACTCAGAAGGCAGTCTTCAGCAAGGTCATCAAACCTGTCCCTTGTGGTATACTCTGGGCTCTTGAGACAACATCTGGAAGACCTTTCTCCCAGCTTCCCTTAAATTTCTAAGTGCACTGTGATAAAACACTATACATATCTGTATGTATGTGCCTTTAGGATCCAAGCGATAGGTTGCCTATCTCCCAGGAAATATTTTAGGATGAGACATCAAAGGAAAGAGGAACAGGAAGAAAATATATTTATATATGTACAAGGCCATGCACAGGCTACTTAAGGGGAGCCTTATATCAAAAGAGCCTAACTTCAGCAAATCTAAATT